CCCGTATGGAGGATGAGGGTATCGAGCCAAAGTTTGATGATATCCTGAAACTGGTAAAAGATAGTGTCAATCAATCTATGAGCAAGTTCGCCAGTCTATTGCATCTCACCCCTAGAATAGAGCAGTCTGAGGGTAAAACGCAATCATTGATGACGAATAGGCCTCAGAGAGGTGGATATCGAGAAGACTCCATGATGTCTAGTAATGCATATAGACTTAGTGAGTGTAACAGGTTTCGTAGTACATCCTCAACAGATAAGTTACAAGATGCAAGACAAACACGGTTGTGTTTCACACGTTTGCAAGAGGTGCATACAAAGGTGAACTGTGAACCAGTGAGCAAGTTCAGTGATAAGCTAAATGTAAACTCCAGGCCTGACTCCGAATTGTGTGACGATAACGGTTTGGTCAAGAAGTCTGTAGTTGCAACTGGTAAGCCATTGTTGAATAGAGTGTCACAGAATAGAGTTACTGCTTCAGAGTGGAGTTCTGACTCCAAAAGTTTACAAGGTATTACTAGTCAGAGTGAAGTTATAAAACCTTTAATGATTTGCGAGGAGGAACCAAAATTGTCTACTTCTGTTATTAAAGAGTTTGAAAATGATGAAGTTGACGGTAAAGTGAATATTCGTGATAATGATCATGATACTTCACAGTTGTCTTTGGTTGATCATTATGAGATGAGGGATATGCCTACTACTGCTAAGTTAAATAAAGGTTCTGTACAACTACAACGTGAAGTAGAATTGAACGCAGATGCAGTTCCAAAAGGTGTGCATACTTGTGAGACAGTCAGTGTAATTGATCAGCGTGTAGCCCACCTATCATCAGATGATAGTGCTAAACCCGAACTAGTAGTGAAAGACAGCAGTGGTGGTAATCTTGCAGTTGGACAACTATCTGAAAGCCGAGCAACAACAGCTTCTGATCCACCACTAAGTTCATCACCTTGTGTCACTCAGTCATCGTTGGTGTTTTCATCCACAATGAAACAGATGCCCATCAACTCAAGTATCTTCTGCAATGACTATGATATTATTGGTGCGTTTGAAAAGACGAAAGATATTGCTCAGTTTAGTGAGAATAAGCCAAGTGTAAACGAGAGAGTAATTGTTAAATTGACTTGCATGAATAAAGGCATTTCTAGTTTCAAGTTACTATTTGAATGTTATTATCTTTGGTGTAAATTACTCTGTTTCTACACTTGGTTGATGAGATATGTCGTGTGTTTGTTCGTCATCTATATTCTACGATACAATGACATGGGCGTGTTGCCGTTCAGATTTGAGGATATAGCTGATAGAAGGAAGTCAGCAAATGAACTCTGCGACGATTTTCCAACCTAGGGCGTCAACCTGAGAAGGGTTGTAGGCGTACTGCTGTAAGTCCTACAGTTCTTCAAAGGGTAGCGCATCAATGAGCAGTCCAATGTGCTTGGTGTGTGATTTTGTACATATGTTCATATTGTATATACTGAATTGATATCATCTGTCATCTAGCTGTTGGTAATTCTGTTTGTGTCCGGACGACTTCCACTTGGATCATCAACCTGAGAAGGAATGTAGGCGTACTGCTGTAAGTCCTACAGTTCTTCAAGGGTAGTTTGCCGTGCCAGAATCCACAACATTTGATGTGTTGATTGTACATATGTTTGTGTTAAATAATTGTGTGAGTTCCAATTGATGTAATTGTTGGTTAATCTTGTTTGTGTCCGTACATTCCACAAATTACAATCGTCAACCTGTGAAGGGTTGTAGGCGTACTGGTGTAAGTCCTGCAATTCTTCAAAGGAATTCCACCAAGACATGATCCCGAGGTTATTTGTACTGTTTGTATATACGTGTGGTGTGTCATATCAATTGGTGTTTTTGGATTCATTGTGTTTACTCGTTGTTTTCGTATCTTGTTTTTATTGCGTAATTTTGTTAAAATTTTCGTCGTGATTACTTCTGAAGTTGTTTCGAGTCTTCTACATCCATGAATGAATTGATTGATGTTAAGGACAGCAGATGGGTCGTATACGCCGGGGAGGCTAGGCTATTGCTGAGAATGAAATGCACACGGAGATAATTGTTAGCTGCGGTCCGACACGCCGGGGAGAAAGAGTGTAAACGACTGAGGCTCGCATGCGTCACCGCTACTAGAACTGAGGCAGAATGAGTGACAAGCGATTTCAGTGGTAATTGGTAATGAGTAGATAAGAGGATGTGCGTAGAGTATCGTGAGGTGCTGCCATGGTCACTTTGCATTCTGCAAGAGTCATTCTAGCAAATGGCGATTGTGTTGCAAGATGTCAAGAGGAGGTCTCTGTCTGGAGGCGCAGGTCGTCAGTGATGTGTGAGATTGTGCTGTGGGTATGCTTGTGGTGTGTTGGCTTTTCTGTTTGTTTTCCATTTCAGCTCTGTCCGTGTGACCCAGGTTCTCGCAATGGCATCCAAGTCAACGTGCATTGGTCGTGAAGGAAAAAAGGGTTGGATCCCTTTTTGCCGGGGAGTGTCAATGGAGTTGAAGATTGAACGATCAATTCTTGGTTGTTTGCTTAAAATCAACTTCCCCAATTTTCGCGGAGGCATCAATACGACAGTCATCGTCTCATCGGTCGCTGTTCAGAAAGAAGAGTGAAACATCGTCAGAAGTAATCTTATGATTTATTATTGTAATATTTGTTTTCAGACCTTAGTTCACTTATTCTTTTTATATGTTGGTGTAACAATAAAGAAATATCAAGCGGCAGATCGGTGTTTTGGTTTTTGCGTCCGTTATAACTAAGCGTTTCTGAAATCTTCAAGGAACAGCGTGGGCCCGAGCGTAGCGAGAGCTGGACATTAACGGTTTACGAGACGTGATTGACACCCTCTTTACACACCTACTCCAATAATGGCGTCATTAAGTCCGCTGTTGTCTCTGGGTCCATTTTCAATGCTTTTGCTGGGATTCCTTCTGGTCCTGCTGCTTTCCAGGTTTCGGCATCTTGATTGCATTCAGTACTTCTGATTTCGTCGGCGTGGGGGCGATGTTTACTGGTAGTTCTGCTTCCATTGTTGGTATTGTTGGGCGCGTTGTAGGTGGCGGTCGATTTAGAAGTCTTTTGAAGTGTTCAACCCAGTGTTTTCTCTGTTCCACCTCTTTGGTGATTGACTTTCGATTTTCATCGTTTACTGGCTTAATCTGTGTCGAACTTTTGCCCGATAGGTTTCTAGTTGTTTGGTAGAGTGTGGCGAGGTCTCCTTTGCCTGCAGCTTGTTCTGCTTCGTTTGCCATGGTTTCATAATATTTTCTTTTGTCTTCCCTGGCACTCTTCTTCACTCCTTTGTTCAGTGTATTGTAGCATGCATTCAACTGCTGTTTTTGTTGCTCGTCCTTGCACTGGATAATCTTTTGTTTCACTGTGCTTTTCTCTTCTATTAGTTTCCAAGTGTCCATAGTGAGCCACTGTTTGTCCTGTCTCATCTTCCTGCTTAGAACTTCCATGCAGGTTTGACTCCACACCGTTTTCAGGTTTTTCCAGTGCTTTTCGACGCCGAAATCTTCGCTGGTGTTGATTTGTGTCTCGGCTTTGTTTCTTATGCTTGCAATGAAGATGTCCTTTGTAGCCTGGTCCTTCAGTTTTTGTGTGTTGAACTTGGCTTGTGGTCTATCTGCAGCTCCTGATTCCCTGAAAGCTTTTAATTTAATTTGGATTGTCCCTTGTACGAGATAGTGGTCTGAGCCAACGTCTGCTCCTCTTCTTGCTTTTGCGTCCAGTAGGCTGCGCCTCCCCTTCCTTGAGCAGCATTGAGATGAAGTCAATTTGGTTTTTGGTTTACCCATCTGGTTACACCCATGTAGCCTTGTGGATATCTTTGTGTTTGTTTACACTGCCACCAATTACTAGTTCGTTGAAGGCGCAGAAGTCGGCGAAGAGTTCTCTATTTCCGCTCATTTCTCTGAGAGCTTCTCTACCCGCAAAGAGTTCCCTTCCTGCGTTGTCTGGTCCCAGTTTGGCGTTCATGTTTCCCAGCTGGGGTATTGTCGATTGTTACCTGTTGTTGTCTGTTGAATTCTTCTTTCCCATCGAGGTCTGCGTTGTTTGTGGGTGCATAACATTGTATAATTGACGCTTTCCTTCCTTTGGAGGTGATTATCCTGGATGAGGTCGCCTCCCATTGCATCAGGGCCTTTGTTGCCGTTGATGACATCATGATAGCCACGCCCTCGGTGTGCGTGTGGTTATCTTCTGGGTGACCGGAGTAGGTCACTGACTCACCCGTTGACAATTTGGTGAGTCCATCCCCATTCCACCTGCTTTTACATATTCCCAGCACTTGGATTCCATATCGTTTCATCTCGTTTGCGATCTGGGCAGCTTTCCCAGTCTCGTACGTAGTGCGGACGTTCCATGTCCCCACACGGACTTTTTCTTATGGCGCGAATGGATTTGTCGTGCTGAAGTTTCTGTAGCCACTTTGTTTACAGGGCGGGGTTGCTAGCCTCACGCCTGAGAAAGGAATTGTTACATTAAGATAAAGTTTAGAGAGAAGCGACCTTGTGGGCTGCTCCACTTAAAATCAGAAAGCAAGAAATACAACGATCAGAACAACACCAGCAAAAGGAAAGTAATTCACAGCAAAAAGGGCAAAAAGCGACAACGACGATACAATACAACAACATGCAATACCGTTAAGCACAGTTAACTAAGATGATACCAAAACCATAGACTCACTGACTTGGGCCAACTTGAACATATCAATCCAGCAATATATACAATTGCAGATATGAGTTAGTGTAAAAAGGTCACAAAATTCCAAACAGTTAGTTATAGGTATTAGTAGTCAACAAGATTATATCCACAGGTTCTAGTGTTCGAAAGTAAACGGATTGCAATAATTTCCGGAATTTCGAGGTGAGAAACACCAGAGGAATGAGAGTTTTATGTAACTAGGCAATTGTAGCTCACTAATCCGTGTACAATCGTGCTTACAATAATTTTTAGTGTATTTTCAATGATTATGGTACTTTTTAACCTCTGAATTCTTATTGGTTGTTCAAGGTCATTGTGGTTTTGGGTATGATAGTTTAACTTTGCCGACTTTAGTATCGAACAAATTCACTGGATCTAGCAATCCCATGCTTTTATGGTATGTAATGGCAATTATACCGACGGCCTAATAAAATGTTCCTGGGATATGCGAACTTCATCAAACAGCAAAATTACGTTTGAAATTGCCGCAACTCTAATGACAAACTGACCAATCACATGGAACACTGTCAGTTATTTCTCTCACTCGCGGGCATAGGAAATTTCGTCCGTCACCTGTAACGTAAGTTCAGCACTAAGTTCTACAGACAATTAAAAGTCATGCATTATTTTTTCTGTCATCCAAACAAAGTGTAGAAATACATCATCATGGTAAAAACAATTAATCTTAATCTGACATATCACGTGAGTGTGTGCACTCCCAATCGTGTTCTTATACTAGTGCACTCACATTAATTATGCTACACTTCCTGCCTGCAGGAGAACTTGTTTGATTATCCCTCATGTTCTGTTTTCTTTTTTATTCAGATTTTGGTTAACTTGTTGGTTGACGTGCTGCAAGAATAATGACAGACGATATTGTATCATTAAGGTTGGTGTTACTGGCTGCTAAGTCTACTCTACTGACTCATTTACAAAATCATCACGATTTCCAGCCTGTTCAATCACAATTTGAAGATCTGGTTGTAGAGTTTGATTATTTGGAAGACCAAGCCCGGTATATATATAAGACTGCAAGATCAACGGTTAGGTTATATTTTTCTCCAGCATTATTAAGTGTTTTGTGTCTAAGCTTTTTTAAAAATTAAGTCTTTTTTGTATTTATTTATTGCGAAAGAGCTGTCGCAGGCTTTTTCAATAATTTTACTTCCTACTTAGTTGTTTGTAACACTGTTACAATCGCAGAATACTTCGGCATCTTGTTGTAGGTAATCTGCTCGTTTACCCATATGTAACGCACCTGGTAGTGAAACTCCGGAACATCTGGGGTTGTGCAAGTCTTTTAAGAAAATTTGGCAATGTGTATTGAAATTGTTAGTTACAGTTGAAAGATATTTTCCCTATCACGAAGTCTATTCTCATGGATACATAATTGAGGGCTGACCAAATGCATCAGTCTTCCTTCACATGACCGAGAAGTTTCTTGCAGGGGGACGTCTTTTGATTATTGTCAGCAGATTATTTGGCCACATTGACAAGCATGTGCCAGTTTACGCGTTCTTATGGTTCTGTTAATTTCAGTCGTACCATGCGTTTTTTTTTGTAATATCTACGCATGAACACTATCCAACTAGTCTAGTAAGGGAAGAATGGAGGTATCTTTAGTTTAGTAGCAGTAGATATTGTGAACCCGAGATGGATATGATCATAAAAATCTGTTAGATTTCATACATTTTCTGGGCATGGCTTTGAAAGGAAATAAAATCAATAGCTGCGGGTTTAGTATTGACTAACTGGTTTCAACGTACAACTTTGCATAGATATGCAGCAAGTCGAGTCGTCACTCTCCCCCTAGTTGTAATACACAAAGCAAGAGAGATTCAAAAGAAAGTTAAGCATAAATATGAGGCACAAAAAGAATAGTGATATGAAAGAACAAGAGAAATTTATTGGATACTATAAATCACTAAAAGCGCCACTGAAAAAAATTTTGAACCATATCACCAATTTTCTTCAGCCACTGGTTTTTACCATCCCAAGGATGCTACGCAAGTTAAACGTGGCTGTAGGTCAATTAAATTTCTCCTCAAAGTATTCTTTCCAATCTTCCAGTCATCTATCCTGTGAGCTAATTATGGTGGCATTTTTCTTGGAGATTGTTTCACTTGTTTCATTTGTCTTTTGTCACCTCTTTCCCTGACAAGTCTAAATAGTTGTCTGGTGTTACTTATCACCGATGCGTTATCCATCTCTCTCTCTCGACCACTGTTCATGGTCGTTACGAAGACTTCGTGTTAGTTTGCGTTTGAACAGCTTTCGCTTCTCATCATATTTGCAGCTCACCGGAATCAGTTTTTTTGTTGTTGTTGCGTTAATCATTTCGGATGAGGTAATAGCAATCCACTGGTTCTTAGTAACTTTTGATTTTAGCTTATTAACAGCCTTTACAGACTTCCCCAGGAGGTCCTACTGTCGACCTCAGATACTCGTTTGGCTATTTCTTCCTTTAGTAGGGACTTGGTGTCTTGATCAAGCTGAGGGTGTAACTGCTTCAATGCGCTGCCAACAGTTTTTATGCCCGTTTAATCGTAAGCCTAGGCGTGCACCAACCAGGGCGTAGTTGGAGTCTAAGCACGTGTTCCAAACTGACTTTATTTATTCAAAGATTACACTCAACACTTTTTCCATAGTAGTCTTGGTCATTGTTACTTAATTGGTGATTATCTGAACTTTTTAATTGTCCCTTTATCATAATCCAAATTTGTATTCACTAAATTTATTTTATCATTGTTTTATTACTATTACTATTATTATTGTATTTTGACTCATGACTGCAAAATAAATTGTGGAATTTTTTCACTCGTTAATATATATATATATATATATATATATATATATATACTTATGAATGTACAGTATAGTTGATGATTTCGTAGGGAAGGGAAGAGTTTCTTTGTTGTAACCGTTATTTTATTCTCCTATGACTTTTCGGGATATTCTGCGCTTTTTGTGGAGAACAAATAAAATCAGTGTCTGCTGCGAATCTACATTCTATAAATTTGTCGACTTAATCTGTTACTTTAGTGGGATTAGTTTCATTATATGCACCTTAGGAGTGATTTTTGGAGTATTTATGTCAATGTTTTATTTTTACACGGGGTAGATGACTACGACTAAGGAATCGACTTGTTACCAGGGAATAGTCTTATGGACTTAGAATATGCAGATGACATAGTCCTGTTAGGGGAGGATGCTGACAAAATAGAGCAGAGTCTTCTGAACACCTAGATTAGCGAGCAGTCTTCGTATGTTTGGCATGCGATTCGCCCCTGTAAAATGTAAGACGATGAGGCTACAGGACTGGACTACGTCAACTCGTAGCTTAGTGATAGGGAGTGAAGTGATAGAACATGTTGACCAGTTCACCTATTTGGGAAGTTGTATCAACACCAAAGGGCTGATTGGCGATGAAATCTCACCACGGATCCAAAAAGTTCGAGCTACTTTCTCTGACCTACACCATGTCTGGCGTAGGCGTGACATCCGGGTATCGACCAAGGGACGTGTGTACTGCTCAGGAGTTTTCTCCGTCCTTCTTTGTGGCTCTGAAACATGGCCAATACAAGTTGAGGACATGAAAAGGTTGACTATTTTTGATCATAGATGTCTGCGATCTCTTTCTGACGTTAGGTGGTATAATAAGGTAAGTAATGTTGACGTTAAGCGTAGAGTGTTGGGCAAAGAGGGAAAATCAATCGACGAGGCTATAAAGTTACATAGATTGAGATGGCTAGGTCAGTTGCTGCACATGCTTAACCATCGCTCTCCTCCCCGACGGGCATTACTAGCTGATATAGATAGGTGCAGGTTGGAAAAGAGTAAGTGAAGTGGTGGCCAAACAAAAACATGGCATGGCATGAATCCATGAAATCCTTGACAGTTAAATTGAGTTTGTCGGTCAGGTAGGGAGATGCAGACTTCCGGGTTGGGACCCTCGGGACTGACTCTAAGAATCAATGGCTGGAGACAATAGGTGGTGACATGGCTCAAAATCGTTGTCAATGGCCAGCGTAGATGTATTCAGTCTCTGTAATCTTTCATATTCATTTCATTTCTACCATTACCCATTCTGTTTCACTCTTATACCTGTCAAACTCTATTGATTCTCTTCACTCATCATCTTCTTGTCAACCTTTGTGTGGTATTTGGAAGGTGGTAACTCGAACTGGTGCCCTTCGGTGCCAAGTTCTATGTAGAATCCAGACAGACAGAGAGACAGCTGACTACCATTTACCGATAGATTTTAAAGTTGCGCTACTCATCTTTGATTCATATTTTTTTAATTTTTTAAAAGAAATTATTCCACTGGCCTGGCATGTTTCACTTTTTCACTCTACATATTGTAAAATGTCCTGTATTGCATTTCTTCGTGAAGGTTTTCATTCATCTTCCCAGTTATCTCATTTGTCGATAGTTCTTCTTCTCATGTTTGCTTTTACTCTTCAACTTTGGTCGATACACTTTCGAGTATACGAAAAGACAGGAGTCACTTAGTCCTCTCAACTGACTGACTGACTTGTTTCAACATAGAAGTTTGCACCGATGTTCAGCAGTTCGAGTCATCACACTCCCTTGATGTAGCACACAAAGCATGAGAAGAAAAGTAAAAAGAAATCCCAAATAGTCACAGTAAACGTAGATATGAGGCAAAAAGAATAGTAATATTGTTCACCCTTATTCTTTCCTGGTTCGCTGCTTAAAAAGGACTATGTCACAATTCGTAGAATGCTGAAGACTGTCAGTCAGTAGGGTGAGTGGTGGTGTCCCAGTGGACCACATAGTTAACGTCGTTGTCAATAGGCGCTTGACTTCGTGCAATAAATTTGCTAGAGGGATTTTGTCTGACTTGGAGCATCCATTTAACCCTCAGCTTTCGCCTTGCACCTCTTCAGGTAGAACAAGAAGCAACTTCAGAAAACTGTATGCTCCCACGTCTAAGTATAAAAATTCTATGATACCATACTTGGCACGTATTTTATGTGATGAAAATGGAGTCAGGCAAGAATTAACTAACCTTTTCCATCCATCCTTATATACCTTCAAGTTTTACTTTTATTATTTCTATTATATGTATGGTCCTGTTGCTTCTTTGTTTTACTCTCATAATTTCAAACACCAACTTATCTCTATGACTGCTGTAATCTTTCTTTTTCCACTCACCATCATCATCATGTAAAGAGAACATTGTATTCAATATTTTTAAACATATTAGGATTTCTATACCGCATTGACAATACTGTGTGTAACAAGCCCACAGTAATTTTCACTTGTATTATTATTATTACCTTAGCTGTTATCATTATTATTATTATTATTTCCATTTTATATGCTGCATGTTTTTGACATTACTCACCCCTATTGTAAATGTGGAAAATTTTCTGTGTGATTAATTTTTATTTATAATTTGAGGAAATTAGATGCAATATTGTGATTAATGCTGAAAATTTCATTCCGTATCACAAGTGCTGTTTTTGGAATAAAGCAAATTATTATTATTTAGAAATTAGGTAATCTAATTGAAGATGCATCATAATGGTACATATACAATGATAACTAGTCTTCTATGCTCTTTTCTTCTCTGCTTTATGGCGATCTACGAACTTGGACTATTATGCATTTCGTAGTGGTGGGTTATCTTGTTATTGATTTTTCGATTATGTAGTCCTAGTCTCAGGACTGATCACGGATTCATATCAGTTAGAGAACCAGGGAGTATTGAATATCTGTTTCATCCTAGTTTGGTGATTCTCCAGCAGTAACCTACCATTGGGCTTCGAACCCAATACCTTCCGGTTCGATTATACGGTAAGCTTGTAGACCATTCAGCTATTGGGACCTGATTCAATGGCCGACCCATGGAATTTCAACTTCTACCAAGTCGGTAGTTTTAGCGCGACTGACACCAGCCAATATCATCCGAGACGAGTAATTGTCCTCACCACCAGCCGACCTTATGGAGCCCAACTGGTCATAACTTCTCACCGGAACTCCAGGCAGCCTTATTCTGGGGAGCTAGTGACTAGGG